GACACGGGACCCACAGCTTAAAGTCTCTCCCAGAGGACTTGTTCCCTGAATTTTTCCGCCCTTAAAAATTCCACGACCTCCGCCAGGTTTTTGAACCTGCGTACTACGAGTCATGAGGTGGGAATGTTACCTCTAGACTACGGAGGCCGCTTGTGTGCCAGGAGTAAACTGTAGGCCTACTGGGAGGTTCCTTGCAATACTGAGTGCAAAATTTCCTTTGAATTTGTGTAGCAGACTTTGTTTCTTTGAACCAAAACACACCATGAGGATGCTCTGCACCTGTCAAACAAGCCATCTTGATTTCAACTTCTGGAGCGCTTGCAGTGGCAGTACTGGGTACTACAGTATCAGGTGCATGAAACTAGGTGTGTTTTGCTACATTATGACAGTTCAAAACGTTGTGTATGTCTTCTGTATAAATTCATATAAGCTTTCAAAGTTGTAACGCTCTTTTTGAAACATCCTGTATATTTAACGGCATGACTCTAAAGTTTATGGTGTAAACTTAACAGATGCATTTGGCAGAAGGAATTATAAATGAAATGATTAAAATTATGGTGAACTCTTCCCTTATGACAATCAAACATTAAATGTATACGCAACTATTCGCTACTGCATTATGATAAACTGGCAAGAAGTCAAAACTATATAGGCTTACTGAATGGAGAAACAATCAGTATTAGCCCTTCTGTGTGGAAAAATTTAAATCCCACTCCTTAACATAATAAAGGAGGAGTTTCCACTTGGAGCTTAAATTCAGATATGAAAATTAACACTGGCTCAAAAACTAATAGTAACTGTTATTTTTTGCCATGAGAACCAAACTTGGTGTCTTTGAAATAAGAAGAAACATTCACACAAAATATCTTCAATATTCACATTTGACAAATGTTTGCTAGCTGATGAAGTGACAACTAAGAGCTGATTTACACAAATGAACATCAGCTGACTTTCAACAGGCTACATAATGTTATATCCCAGAAGACAGAACTCTTCATCACAACTGTTGTGACAACCGCCGCTTGCCGCTATCCCTTCAACTCGCGATCACCGAGCGTCAGCAAAGGAAGAAAACCAAGCTGCTACAAACGAAGACACAGCTAAACAAACAGCCCTTTTAGGGGCATTAACTTAGCACCTTCACCACCGGACCGGGCTAGCTGCTAGGAAAGGAGTCTCCACTGACACTGGGGCACACTCCCTGCTCTAAGTGCAGTGAACATTTATCGTTATAGTTACATGGTTCTCTCAGCTAGGATTAACATCCCACAGAAGTGTCAAAACTGATGACATAAGTTTACCAACATCACCCCACACCTTTGGTTACACACACATACATACACACAAGAGGACAAGCAGGCCCATGCATTCACACAAGATGCATACACATAAGACGAATGGTAAATCCAAGCACGTCCTAAAATTACTTGGTTCTGTAGATCTTATAAATGAGGGGCAACACATTATTCAACATGCAGTTTCACTAGATGTATCAAAGTAGAAAGATGAAAATCCACAAATATGTTGTGGCATTAATTCTTAAAACATGATACCACTTTGCTAAACCTATATATTTTAGCCTACTGACTTGATTTCACCACCTGATTATTTTCAACAAACCAATAGTGTTCGAGCAACAGAGCACCCAAGAGTTCCAGAGCCAAGAAGCAAGCATCGAGTGTTCTTTATCAAATCAAGGTCCAGCTCTGGCATCAAGCGCCATTTCATCAGCTTCAGATTCAAATCTACAGATGTCTCTGCTAACCTGAAAAAAAGAGAGGTTAGTCAAAATAGTGCATAGGTCAAGTAAAAGTGGATTTATACATCCACTCAACGACACACCATTATAGTGTAGCGCTTAATTAGCAAAGCAGAGAGACTACTGCACCTTACCTTCAACAGCAGTTACAAAGAAATGACTGTCATTTGGATGTCATGTGATGAGTAACTCTCACCGGATAAAACTTTGAGTGATAAACTATTCAGAGTATGGAATGCACACTTTCGTCTCTTAGATATACAAGAAAGAGATAAAAGTGGTTGGGAAACAGCATCTTCACAGTCCACCAGCTAAAAATGGCTTTGGAAGAAAATTAATTGTACTATGTGTACAAGACATATTGGAACAGAGGTTGTGGCTGGTCAGAGAACTCATTATGACAAAGATATTTTGTGTAAGATTTTCCCATATATGTAACATTAAGAAACTGACTGCTGACAATTTTGTTTACTACAGTGAACTTTTTGCTGTAACCCATAATGTTCTATCAGGAATACAATGCATTTCATTTTTAATTTATATTTATGATTTACTGAGAGACGGTGACAGAATTCAGACTATATAGCTCTGAACAGAATGATTTGGAAATGCTGAATTAGGAACGATGTTGGAGGAAACAGACATGGTCCAAATGAAGTACTATTTTGGCTTTTTATATGTTCCATCAAAACAAATCCTGTGTAAATTGAATACATTATACTGTAACGTATTTTGCTCCTGAAGACGCAGCTCAGATTGTTAATTGGTTTATTTAACAACCTACAAGTTGTAACTACAAATACTTATAACACTGTTGTGGGTTCAGACAATTTACAAACCCCACACAATGGGCTCTTCAGTAGTCTTCATGTATTTATAGTACAACACAGGAGCTATACAAGTGTCACCATATTACACACTCCCAATATAACTGTACTACAGCATACACAAAGTCTTCACTGGCTGACTTCGCAGTTATCGCACACTATCACATAAGATCTTCTAACCAAGCGTTTGGGTCTTCTTTCCGTGACTGCTGCTATATTTCAACTAAACTTCTTAGGCATTCCGGTTCTCTTATAAACCGTCAGTCAGACAGCAGAAAACACACATCACTTCCTTGTTGCATAATCGCCATGTTTACAGGCATTGCTGGGCAATGCTGCCAAGGTTATTTATTGCTGTGTAGTAACTATGGTGCCCCCTGTTACGTCACCATGGGGGAGGGGGACAGAGTGTTGACTGGCCTTTTACCGTAGCAGCGGCAGTTGCTCCGATGCTGTTACGTCACTGCTGGAGGGGGGGGGTGTTTACCAAGCATTGCGCCATCCACGTTACAATACTGTTTTTTTACTTCACACCATGCTTCTGCCAATTTATGGTCATCACCAGGTAAATCATTTCACATTCACAATCTACTTTTTCCATCTGTTCCTCTACTTTGGCCAATGTTTACATTTCAGGGGAAGGTCATATATAATGTAAACACTGGCCAATGTTAGGGAAAAAAAATAGTAGCAAAGTAGACTGTGAAATGATTTACCTGATGATGGCCATAAATTGGCTTAAACATGTTGTAAACTAAAAACAGTATAAATATATTCAATTTATACAGAAGCTGTAGTGATGGAACCTATAATAAATATTTCAAACACAATATGACGCTAAAATACAATATCACTATTATTCTGGTGATCGCCTGCAGGAATTAAGGAAAACCACAAAATACCTGTCAGAATGACTGATTGCCAAGCTGACATTTGAACTAGGAACCTTCAAAATATGAAGAAAGAATGCTACCCACTCAACTGTACTGCATTTCATAACAGGGACATGCCATTTCTGTACACATTTAGATTATATTGATAAAACTGGGATGTCTCCACTTGTAACTGCAATAAGGTTCACCTCACATACTGTCATGATTTAGAGGTGTGACTATAGGCGGATATGGACTGGATATTAGATTTATTAACACACTTGTAGACACCACTTGGAACTACAAGTAATTACAGAACTAATCTTCACACTTTACAAACCACCACTGCACCTGCTAATCCTCCCTGTTGTGTCTTCAACAGCCATTCACTAGAGATGGCTTTAACAGTAGAGATTCTTCAGCTTCCTACACTCGCATCATTACTCTCTGGTGAATATCCTACAACTGGATGCGTCAATTGTCAACTCAACTACAGCACCATCTCTTCTCAGCCTTCATTGCAGAGCTTGACTCAACTGACAACCCTCAAATAACTGGGCCAAAGGCTGGCGGCCATTTCACACCAACCTCCTAATCCTCTCTTCACAGGCTGATATTCAACTGACAACTAAACTGGATTGCCCCAGTTGTCTTCTTTTTAAGTCCTCGGCATGGACCACATAGAAAATACCACAATTTCCATTGCAACTTTATTTTGGTGTCTCATTTCTGCAGGAATGTGTTTACCAAGCCATTGCTCTGAAATGGTGGTTTGTTTATTTGTCTAGTGCATAGCAATGGCTGTACTCGTTTGTTTCAAGGTCTTTACCTAGCAACAGGTCTATATGCCACACTATTCACCATTTCATTAGATTTTCAGCAACAATAAATTCACTTAGGTACACTTCCCTGGTACCACACATTATTTTTGAGAAATAAGACAATACGTTTCTCCTGTGCCTGGTGTATGGACAGTACAACATTAGAAAAATAACTCTAGTTCAGTCACTTTAGTAACCATGAACTTCATTTCTATTAATCTACATATATATTACAAAGGAAATACTCACCTGACAGGATCCATTGATGAACTAAGATTCATCACTCTTGGACCAAACTTCCCTCTTTCATTGCGTTCCCATCCAACCCACCTGACCTTGCTTCCAGGAGAATGGGAGGTGTTGTTCACAAGACTTGGCATTTCAGTGGGTGAATTTAAAGCTTCAGATTCAGAATGTGGAGAAAATGTGGTTTCTGGAGAGGAAGGTTCTGTGGTTGAAATAGGAGGTAATGTAACTTCTAAGACAAGGCTGTCTTTCGTACTCCATGTTGAACAGGGCAGTAATCGAAGGCGGAGGCACAGGACTCTGAGCCTCAAACCCACTAATTCTGAACTGTAAAATGAAGAATGACTTATAACAACAGTGCACTAAGGCCATCACCAAGTGGCAAAGAAAAACTGGGGAAACAATCCAGCTAACAACTAGACAGAAATCATTTCAATAAAAATTACCTGATACAATTGTACATTTTAATTTATTCATCGTAACACATTCATTCTACATGTTTCAGAAGAATATACTACAGAGAAAACTACAATAAAATCATAATTCCTTAAACTAGATCCTGATCATATAATTAACTGTTTGATATTATCCTCTGTTGTCATGTGTATTGATGAGTATACAGATGGGTCTTCACATGTTATTGCTTGTCTGTAAATAAAACATAATAAAAGTTTTCACTGAACTTCAGTTATATATGAATATTTTCTTTTGTATCCATATATCAGTATCGGTTGGTATAGTTCGCTTGCGGACTAAAGCCGCAGTGTTTGTTTTGTTTGTTTTTATACCAGTAATCACCTAATATGAATCTTTATAGCCTTATTACAACCTCTGCCTTGTATTGGGCTATCTAGATATTGTAGTGCTACTGTGTATGCATATTTCTGTTACAAATTTTGTGTTTGTCAATGAAATCCAGAATGTCAAAAAGAGTGTTCTGACTTTAAGGCTTTTGTTCACCAAACAGCTAATTCATTTCTTGTATACGGAAATGTTAAAATTATCCTTTACGTTCATGGCCATAGATTTTAATTTTTTTGCAGGATCTATTACCTTCATTATCTCCCCATCCCTATTTTTTCATACTGACCCCCTCGTTGGTGCCTCCACCTTATTGTGGTGAGGGGGTTTGAGTATGCCAAGGACCCTGAGAGCTATACCAGCACTAGCATAGATACTGGCAGGGCTTCCCTTGCTGGACAGGTCAAAGGGTAGACATCAGACGAAGAGAGACACCAAAAACCAAAAACTGATGCCGCATGCAGCATCATCAGCAGCAACTTGAAGCACAGAGCAAATGATGCTCGAGATGGTTAAAGTTCATATAGCAACAGGCGTGACCAGAGTGGTTTGAACGGCTGTTGTACTGTGATGTGGAAAGCAAATGGAAAAACTACCACATTATCACTTTTCCTGGATAGTCTCTTTCCAAAAACAGATATATCATGTATGCAAGAGA